ATATATATATATATATATTACAGTATATAGTATTTTGATCCAAAAAGACAGTCCTGATATTGATAGCTTGTGCCTTGCAGTATTAGAAATTTTGCACTTTATTATAGTGAGTCTACATCTGGCTTAGAAGCTGCTGCTTATTTCCCAACAGAATTTGGGCCACTCTGCCACACCCTCTTAACTTACACAAACTTATCTGATGTTACTGATCAAAGAGAAGTTGTAATCCTGCTTTTTATAACAGATTTTTATTCTAAATAAGTTCAATTTAAATCAAAGACAGTCTTGTACCCTCTCTGTGTCAGCTAAGAGGCAACTCTGAGAAGACAAATTGTTGCTGAGTTATATGAGTAAAAAGTTGATTTTATGTATTTTATTCTGAAATAAATATTTCAAGAGTTATTTGGAAATGATCATTCCTTATCTTTTTTTTATTTAAATGTTTGTGCTCAGGAAAATCAATCTGATTTTAAACTGCACTTTCAGGACTTTGTTTTTACCAAAGGCTATAATGTTTCAGAGAACTTATGCCAATTTTTGAAACATTTTATGTCTAAATTTCTATTAAGGGTTTTATATTTGATCAATTTGTTAGCATTACAGTACGATCATGCCTAAAAGAGGCTTCCATTTGATTTTTTATTCCGTCTTCAACATAATTATCTTTAAAATTTTCAGATATTGGCATAAGTTGTGTAAAACATTACAGAGTGACAGGGYCTTAAAAGCTATTAACTTGGACATTTCACAAGTGATGGGAGGATGGAGCGAGAGATGGAGCGAGAAATCAAAACCTCTTCTTCGGTAACGAGGGCGTTGCTTTGGTCAGTCGTGGTAAAGAGGGGGTTGAGATAAAGGACAAAGCTCTTCTCACTTATGGTCATGAAGTTTTACATTTTTTGATAGAAAAAGTTCATCAGTTTTAGACAGTTTGTTCTCAGTTACTGCCTGAGGTTTTACACCCATCGGCCGCCCCTGGAGTCCCACAGACCGAAAAGACTGGAGAGGACCCAGGCAGGCAGGAAGGAGGGAGGGCAGGTAGGCGGGTGGGCAGGCAGGAAGGAGGGAGGGCGGGCAGGCTGCTCCTCCCAACCACGCCTCTCCAGGTCCCACTGCCATCTTCCACGCGAGCGCCAAAGTCCCCAAGCAGAACGAGGGAGTCTCCGCCAGGAGCGCTCTCAGCAACCCCTCCAAGGATACCAGAAAGGCCCCGAAGTCGCAGCAAAGTCCCCCCCACACGGACCCTCCAAACTTCCCCCACGCCTGGGTTTGTAGGAAGGAAGCGAGGAAGGAAGGAAGGAAGGCAGGCAGGCAGGCAGGCATGAAGGAAGGAAGGAAGGAAGGCAGGCAGGCAGGCAGGCAGGCAGGCAGGCAGGCAGGCAGGCAGGC